CGGGCTCCCTCCTGGGCAGGGAGCCTGCTTCTCCCTCTCCCACTCTCCCTGCTTGTGTTCCCTCTCTCACTGTGTCTGTCTCTGTCAAATAAATACATAAAAAAATCTTTAAAAAAAAAAAAAAAGGACAGCAATGACATAAGCCCTAAGTCCACAGTGCTACTAAGTAGCTAAAGAAGTAGTGTGGGAGGAGGGAGGGCCTTGGCTTACAATAAGATACTGTGTGCTGACTGGTAAACGTGAAGGGAGTGCTGGAGTTGGGAATTCATCATTTTATAGATTGGCTCAGGCAAGAATTATCAATAGATGCTAAATCTAGGGGAAAACTTTTTATGAGGAGTAGGATATCTGCATGGATTTATAGTTTCTCCCCCTCCCCAGATTATTAGTAGCAAAGAAGGAAAAAAACGCAGTAATTATATAGTTGAGAAATTGGGCGACACCTTGACCCCAAATGAGAACAATCTATTTTTTTAAAAGATTTTTATTTTTATTTATTTATTTGACAGAGAGAGACAGCGAGAGAGGGAACACAAGCAGGGGGAGGGGGAGAGGGAGAAGCAGGCTTCCCGCGGAGCAGGGAGCCCGATGCGGGGCTCGATCCCAGGACCCTGGGATCACGACCTGTGCTGAAGGCAGACGCCTAATGACTGAGCCACCCAGGCGCCCCGAGAACAATCTATTTTTTAAATAGGATTTTTAAAAATATCAATGTCAGGGGGTGCCTGGGTGGCTCAGTCGCTTAAGCGTCCAACTCTGGATTTCCCCTCAGGTCATGATCTCAGGGTTGTAAGATCAAGCCCCATGTTGGGCTCCACATTGGGCGGGGAGCCTGCTTAAGATTCTCTCTCTCCCTCTCCACCTGCCCTTCCCCCCTCTCTAAAAAATATATATGTCAAAAAAGACAAAGAAAGATTCTATATAAAAGGAGAATAAAGAGGACACAATGGGTGATTCTAGACCAAATCCTATATGGCAAGAAAAAAATGTCATAAAGCATGTTTTTCAATAGATAAAGGTGTTGTAAAAATGTTAAATTTACTGAAGTTGATAACTGTGGTTATGTAAGAGAATACCCTTATTATTAGGAAATGCCCACTGGCATATTTAGGGGTAAAGAGCCATGATACATGTAAATTACCTTCAAATGGTTCAGAAAAAAATATGTATAGTTTATCTATAGATCTATATATGTATAGAGAGAGCACACAATGATAAAGTAAGTGGGGCAAAATGTTTTCAACTGGTGAATCTGAGTCAAGAGTATGTGGATATACTTTAGAGTATTCTCGTAAATTAATTCCAAAATTAAATGTTTTGAGAAGTGCAATAGCTCCCTACATTGCGGAAGAATCTCAATCTCGATACCTCTTAATTACTTTTTGTTGTGTGGCCAGCTCTTTACAGGGCTCTCTGAAGGGCAATAAATGATGTTCTTACCCTTTGGAAGCTTGACGTCTCTTGAGGAGGGAAGTCTCTCAAACAAGAGGCAGAAAAGATTACAAAAGTTCAGCTAAGAAGTTTGAAAATGGAGAAGAGATCCGGATACGTGGATGGGATCAAGAAAGACTTCAAGGAGAAGGTGGGGGCTGAGCCTCAATAGCAGGATTTAAATCAGTAGAGGATATTTCAGACAAAGTCAACAAATAGTTTGTGTAACTCCAGGAGAGGCTTGTGCAGACTGGTGAGCTGGGATGAAGACTGGGTAGTAGGAAGGATTGGAACATTGGGTTGAGTAGATAAGATGCAGCCAGTCTATAAGTTCCTCAAGAGCAGTGTCTACCTAGATCTCGTGCAACAATATCCCCCATAGCATAAGGCACAGGGCCAAACCCACGGGAGGAGTTCAATATAACCTTATTATTGGATTGAGGACAAGTAATTCAAGCCCCAAACCAAGATAAGGAGTTTGGCCCCAAGTCTATACATAACAGATAGATGTATAATTTTTTTATAGGTATTGAGCCGAGGGCAGGTACCTTCTAAAGCCCAAGCCAAAGGAGCTAAGAGGTAGTGCAGGGTCTGGATAGACACCCAGGTTAAGGTAGCACCTGGTGGCAAAACCACTGTGAGGTACTACTGTCTGATGCACAACTCTTTCCAGGGGGACCCGCATTTTAAAAGAAGGGCTTTGCAAGAAAGCTGTGCTTTTAGCAAAGGGATGACTCTCCCCAAGTCGGGGCATTTCAGATAGGAGAGGATACTGCTTAACCTCAGTGCTTCCAGCTAGGGCCCTGGCTGCTAGGCTCTTTTGAGGGTTTTAGAGGCCTGGTTCTCTCCCTAGAAGCAGTTGGCATTGTCACCTGCTCAACAATGCCCCAGGAGCAGGCCCTCATTGCCCCAACAGTCCTGCCCCCGCGTCCATGCTCTAGCAGAACTGTATGCAAATTTCCCCCACTAACTTGCATTAAGTCTTCAGCCATTTGTCTTCATTTCTGATTTCTTTTTTTTTTTTTTAAGATTTTATTTATTTGAGAGAGAGAGAGAATACAAGCAGGGAGAGTAGGAGAGGGAGAAGCAGGCTCCCCACTGAGCAGGGAGCCCGATGCAGGGACTCCATCCCAGGACCCTGGGATCATGACCTGAGCCGAAGGCAGACGCTTAACTGACTGAGCCACTCAGGCACCCCTATTTCTGATTTCTTTTAACTGGACAGTTTCTTCTAACACCTTTAGGTTCAGTGATACACCAACCAGCACTAAAATGCGTTAGAAGTGGGGTCGGCAAACTATGGCTCACAGGCCAAATCTGCTCTCCCTGTGTGCATTTGGGTTTTTTTTAAGATTTTATTTATTTATTTATTTTTCTTTTTTAATTAATTAATTTTTTGATGTAGTGTTCCATGATTCATTGTTTGCGTATAACACCCAGTGCTCCATTCAATACATGCCCTCTTTAATACCCATCACCAGGCTAACCCACCCCCCACCCCCCTCCCCTCTAGAACCCTCAGTTTGTTTCTCAGAGTCCGTAGTCTCTCATGGTCTGTCTCCCCCCTCTGGTTTCACCCCTTCATTTTTCCCTTCCTACTATCTTTTTTTTTTTTTTTTTAAACATATAACGTATTATTTGTTTCAGAGGTACAGGTCTGTGATTCATCAGTCTTACACAATTCACAGCGCTCACCATAGCACATACCCTCCCCAGTGTCCATCACCCAGCCACCCCATCCCTCCCATCCCCCCACCACTCCAGCAACCCTCAGTTTGTTTCCTGAGATTAAGATTTTATTTATTTATTCGACAGGGAGAGAAACAGAGATCATGACCTGAGCTGAAGGCAGACGCTTAACGACTGAGCCACCCAGGCACCACCCCCCCCCACCTGCATTTGTAAGGCCCTCATGCTAAGAACACTTTTTTTTACATTTTCTGATAGTTGAAAAAAATTCAAAAGAATAATAATTTAGGACATCGGAAAATGAAATTCACATGTGAATTTCAAATTTCAGTATCTATAAATAAAGTTTTATTGGCACACAGCCATGCTCATCCTTTCACATAGGATCTATGGCTGCTTCTGTGCTAGAGTGAACAGTTGCAGAGGCCCCACTGCCTGCGAAGCCTAAAATAACTTACCATCTGGTCCTTTAGAGAAAACGTTTGCTGACCCCTGGCCTACAACAATGGTTGTCAGTATGGGACGATTTTGCCCTCCAGGAGGCATTTGGCAATGTCTGGAGACGTTTTTGGTTAGCACAACTTGGGGGAAGGGAGGGTGCTAAACACACTACAAAGTCTTTTTGTAGGCTAGGACAGCCTACAACAGGACAGCCCCTAGGACAGGCCCTACGACAAAGAATTCTCTGGCCTCAAATGTCAGGAGTGCTGAGGTTGAGAAACCCTGGATTAGAGAAGCCTAAGGTACTTCGAGTAAAGGGAAAACTCCATCCTTAATAAGGGATGTGGTTTATTGAACAACCAGGTGGTTAATTTACATTAGCTCACGTAGCTTTCACAATAACCCTGCAAGGCAATTACTTCTATTCTCCTTTTACAGACAAGTTTTTTTTTTTTTTTAAGATTTTATTTATTTATTCATGAGAGACAGAGAGAGAGAGTGAGGCAGAGGGAGAGGGAGAAGCAGGCTTCCCGCGGAGCAGGGAGCCCGATGCGGGACTCGATCCCAGGAGCCTGGGATCATGACCTGAGCCGAAGGCAGAGGCTTAACCGACTGAGCCACCCAGGCGTCCTTAAAGACAAGTTTTTAACCCAACTTGCCCCAGAGCACACACGGAGAGCAAGTGTGCCCGGTTCCAGCACCTGTATTTTTCCACCGCCGCTGCTCAGTGACGTCACAAGGGGGCGTTTTCTCTCTCTCTGCTGCCCTCTAGTGTGTGAGCTGCACAAACGCAGGACGGTGTCGTTTCCTCCGGTACGGAGAGGATGGGGACGCTTCTCCGGTCTCCGGGTCTCCAGCCTCTGGCCAACCGGGAAATGAAACCGGGGAAAGAAAACCCTACCTCGACCGCAACCGGAATTGTAGAAAGTTGACCCTTCTCCCCTCTTGCCCACTTTAATGCTGGGGGCAACAGGAGGAGACTTCCCTCCCTGGTAGACCCAGGACATAAAGTCCTACTTGCTATCTATAGAATGCTTTTGGAGTCATAAAGCACGGTCATATTCATGAATTTCCAGAAGGCATGCAGTGCAGAGTTCTTTTCCTTCAGGAATTAAAACTCACCAGAATCTTGTTCTGTAGAGTCTGGCACTCCGCTTCCTCCACCTTTTATCCTAGATGATAATCAGCTCGATGCATCAGTTAAATCCATGCTAATGAAGGAAAAGTAGAGGACTTCCTGCCCACCCCCACCCCGCCCCTTAGGAATTGGAGGCCCAAATGGGGAGAAGGGGGCACAGCAGCCCACCTATGAAGATTGTATATGGGCTTGCCTCCCCCGAGCTGCTAGCAGTCACCCACTTGGAAGGCAGCTACCCCCTCCTAGGGCAAACCATGGTGGAACGCATCACCTAACGATTTAAGATCAGATCACACAGCCATTGAGCATTTCTTTGAATTTTATTGAAAATTGACATGGACATTAGAAAGGTATCGAGCTAAACAGTGCTGGTTTTGGGATGTTTCTCCTGGCGAATGAAAGCCCCAGAGGGGTGGTGACTGGTCACACTTTTGAGCAGAAAGAACAAAGGAGAAGAAAGGACAAACACACAGAAATTCTGGAAAACATGCAAAGAGGCTCTCTCTGGAGACGCCAGACAGCAGAATGGCAATGTAGGGATATACAGGAATGAGCACGCTCACATGGTATTTTGATGCGAGTTAAGCCAATGAATTCAAGGCAGATTTATCAACACGAGAGCTCTCCTTGCAGATCCCAGGTTGAGCAGAAACCTCTCTCAAAACCCCAACTGGCCCTGGAGGGTTGAATGGCGTAATTTTGCTCTTCCTAAGCTTAAACCCCCTCCTGTCTCTCATTTCTCCACCTGAGTGTGAGTGGATCCGTTTTCCCCCCTTGCTGGGGGTGGGGTGGGGAGGAGGGTTCTGCAGAAGGCCCGTGAATGCTGAAGAGAGGACTGTCCCTTGACTTACTCTTCCATATTCAGAAATGTTTAATAGTGGCCGTCGACAGTCAACCCATTGGACCGGAGAATTGGTGTTTAAAAAGGGAAACCGGGAAACTTGCGAACAGCACTTCCACACCCACAGCTGAGGTCTCCTGCCCCAGTCACTTACACTTGGGTGAGTCGTCCTGCAGTTGTCTCTCTGAGGTTACATTTGGTCCATTCTCCAGGTTCTTTTCCTGCCTTGGTTAGATTAGGACAGGACAGGACATTTCCATTTAAAATACCATGTAAGCCAGGAGAGAGCTTCTTGCCTGGACACAGGGACACGTGAACACGTGTGGAGCGTGTGGTGTGTGTTATGTGCACAGTTTGAGGGGAGAAGGGGATTGGTTGGTTTCTGGTTTGAGACAATATAATGGCAGTCTTCTCCTTTAGACTTAGTGCAGCTGCTGAAGACAAGATTAAAAAAAGCTGGAGAGGGAGAGAGAAAGAGAAAGAAAACATGGAATTAGCCAAAGAAAAAGGACATTCAAAGTAAGACAAGGCAAGGGGAGTGGGCAGCGGGAGGCAGCACAAATTACACTTGGAGAAGACAGGTTAGGAAGGGGTCACCGATAGACCGCAACCACCGGGAAATCTGCTGAGAAGATTTTAAGAACACCACACACCGGTTTGAAGCTTCTTGTTTTAATAAAAAAACAAAAACAAACACAGAAAAAACCAGCCACATGTGAATGCCAAATGATTAAAACCCAAACCCAAACCAAAAGTGATCTGCACTGCAGCGAGGAAAAGCAAACTTCTTGGCTTAAAAGAAATGGTGTGTGTGTGTGTGTGTGTGTGTGTGTGTGTGATCACATGTAGGGATTTTTCAAGAAAGCCATTCCATCCCAGTCTGGGAAAATAAAAGCGCAGACCATTTCTAATGACTGGATTTGTTTCACCAGAAGGTAACAGAGTACTTAGGGTTATTTAAAAAAAAAAATAGTAACAATTGTATTAATTACAAAGCCTCTTCACTGAAGGGAAAAAAAAATCTTTCTGTCTGCAGTGAGAAAAGCTATCCAGTAAAATAACTATTTTAATCCTTTTTGCTAACTTTCCAAAGGCCTTCTGTTCCCTCGCGGGTTAGATTTTTTTTTGTTTACCAAACTTCCTTGATGACAAGGATCTTGTAAGGCACCTGTTCAACACTCGTGTGCCTGGGCCCCAGTCCAGACTTCCAGGAAAGCTGACCGGCCAACAGGCACTGTCAGCAGAAACACTCAGCTCGGGAGCTGGCCTGGAGTCCTCTGCTTTGCCTGCCCCTACCCACTCCATCCTCAGGTAGTTTTCTGTGGGGGCAGGGGGAACCCTCAAAAGGCCCTGTAATAATGCTAACTGTTGGTTTTCTCTGGACATCAAAAGACCTTGGTCTCCAGCAACAGAGAGGAGCAGATGGAATCCATTTGTGACAGGGAGCCGGGGTCAGGAGACATTGAATTTCGCCTGGCTTCTGCTGCAAAACAGCCCTGGGACAGCGGGGCCAGTCCCTCGACTTCTCCGGGTCTCCATTTCCTTTGGGCCGTATCTGTTAGACGGACCAAAATTTCTCCCTGGCCCCGACATTCCCGCCTAGTCCTGGAAGTTCTCCCCAGGGCTGGCTGGCGGTCTACTACTTTTTGAAGTTTGCAGAGCTCCTCAGGCCTCAAGTAGTTAATGTATAAACAAATGCAAATGAGAGCCCCCCCATTTGTGAGGCAAATGATAACCCCGGGGAAATGGTGACCGGCTGGTTGTTTCAGTCTGAGAGTCTTGGGAAAGAGCCGTAAAACTGGACACCGAGACATCGAAGCTGCAAATGAGATGCCTTTCCCAAGGAGACTCGACAGCCCTAATTTAGGATCTCTCTGAGCTCCTGGCGGAGTATCCAGTTTTTGTTTGTTTTGTTTTGAACCTCCAAGCATGGGGTCTCCTAAAACGCTGCCCTACGAGACTTGGATTTTTCTCAAGAAACTAGTGTATACTTCATACTGGCCTCTGGTCACTAACCAGTGACTCAGCCAACAGCACACATCAAAACTGCGCTCTCGCTCTGCCGACAAGAACATAGAAAGTGTGTGTGTAGGTTCGCTTCTTGTTTCTTCTACTTTTCGCTTCCTATTATTTATGATCTCGTAGGGAAGAGAGGAAAGCCCCTCCCCATTCTCAACACCTCAAAAAGCCCTGAAAATTTGGCATAGCCTGGTTTAACTGTGTGTTTTGGGGGAAAAAAAATAACTGATCAAGAAAAAAAAAAACTCAAAAAAAAAAAAGTAAAGAAGAATCTCATGATCAGTGCCAGGGGACTCTGCAGGCAGAACTCAGAAGAAGAGGTGGGACTCAAGGTGGAAGTACGTGGCAGGGGCAGGGGTGGGGGCTGCTGCCTGGCGCCCCCCCCAACAAAGGAAAGCTGTCAGTTAAAATAGGAACCTTGGCTTAAAAGGCTAAATGGAGTCCAGTCCAGCTGTAGCGGGGGATACTATTCAGTACACAGCCATGGATTACTGCAAAGGAAGGGCAGAGAAACGGCACGTTAGCCACAGATCATTGCCACGTGACCTTCAGCTCTCTCTCTCTCTCTCTCTCTCTCTCTCTTTCCCTGGCCGAACACCAAAGGCCCCCTGTACCTGGTGGCCCTGACAGTGGAGGGCTCGCTACTTCAAAGGGGTTCCCAAAGCCGCTATCAGATGGGCCCGTTATAAAAATTGGGGCTGGAATATGTTTTAAATATCACACTGTTAGACTGGAGATAGGGCCTTCCAAGACACAACACCTCTTCTCTCCTCCCCAGCTGATGGTCTCACCTCTTCTTATGGGGGGACACATGCAAAATACAGATTAAAACTCATCCCCTGCACCAAATAAACAGACTGGAAGACTCATCAGAGCAAAGCTGAAAACACTGCTTCTTTGGCCACGCAGTTTGGCAGTTTCCAGCATGAACCTGCGACTGGGCCTGCCTGAGTGGGGTGGTGTGGAGCCCTAAGGGAGATTACAGAGATACTGAGACGCCTCAGAAGAATTCCAGAAGTCTATCATTGAAGACACTAGGCTGGTAATAACATTCAGGTTTATTCTCCCTTCTGCATTTGTGGGGTACCCAGAATTATAGCGAGCAGAAATTTATGCTATTTTCTTCAGCAGTCATGTTTTCTGGAAAGGGCTTGACGTCAATAAACTCGTTCTGGATTTTTAACACAACTTGAGTGCACTTACTTGGAGCAACTCAAAACAGGAAAGGGCTGGGCTGAGAGGCCAGAAGAAAAAGGCACCAGAGGATCTCCTTTTGGAGCCCTCTCAGAAGGGGCCATGGCCGCTGTTGGGGGTTGGGGGGGTCAGGGAAGCCCAGTGCATGGGGACTAACTGGGACTAACTGGCATTTACCCAGGCATGGTGGAGGCAAATACTTCAGGGAAACAAGCAGCAATCAGAATTCGAGCAGGGAAGCTGGTGGTGGAGAATAGCAGATGGGGGTGGGTGGGGGGAATGACCGGGAGGCAGGAGGCATCGCCATTTCCGAGCCACGTGACTGCTGGCTTCTTGCCCAGAGGCCAGACACCATCCTCAGACTCCCAGGCTTCTATAAACTTTGGCAGGAAGAGAGGGGAGGGCATGGGTTGTGTGTCCCCTCAGGCGTGTTAAGGGGGAATTAGAGAAAGGGAGGCCCAGCTCTGTTGCGCAGGAAAAGGGTGTCTACAGGAAGCCCAAACTGAAAATGAAAAGAGAAGTTGGGTTAATGAATGGATGGATTAATGTATAACAACAACAACAACAAAAAAAGGTTAGAAGAAAATTGTCGTGATGACTCATGGATAAATTAGAATATAGCTATGTTAGAATAAGGTCTTACTGCACTGGCTCCTGGGAACATGCTTTCTCTCTCACGCACCCCCACACTCCCTCTGAGTGGCAGGAGAGTGGCATTAGCTAAGCAAAATAATTATCAACAGCCACAAGAATACTTTCTCTCTTTCTAATTACTAGGTCCTAACGCCCCCCTGCCACCCAGACACCGTACGGGAGTCCGGTCAGCAAATCTCTAGGGGGCCTCAGGCCGCTGGGTAGAGCGCCAGGCTCTCCGCCATGGATTGCCTTGTCCCATAGGGAAAGCAGAGGAGGTGGAGGTTTCCCCTCAGGTCGACTTGAGCAGCCCCAGTCAGCTAACTGGTACCCTGGGGCAAGATTGTTTCAGAAGTATCTGGAGATGGCTGAGGGGTCTGCAGTAGGATCCAGACCACGGTTACCTGAAAACCTGAACTATGGCAATCTATTATGGGTATACATTCATCTCACTAAATCAAGGCTGTTATTAGATGTCTGGGAGGGCTGTTACAAGCACATGCATATGGGAGTATGTTTGTACAGTCCCGTCCTCAGAGCGAATACATCCACACAGCTCTCCACACACGCACCTCTACTCTCTCTCTCTCTCGTGGCCATTTATGTCAGGAATTAGGAGTTCTGCATTCCTTTTCCAGCTCTGCCACTAACTCACTGTGTGAGCCTTGGTAAGTCTCTGAAATCCCCCACTCCTCCATCCGCTCATCTGGCAAACTGAAGATTATTCCTTTCTTCTCTACCTCACAGGATTGTTGTAAGGTGAAAATAATATGTCGTCTGGAGAAACGCATTAAAAATATTGAAAAGTATTAAAATGCCACATGAACGCTCACCCCTTATTCTAGTCTTTGTCTACTTCCCAGGGGAAGAGAGACCTAAACAACATGGCGACGGCCTATGTTCTGGGCTGCGTGGGAAGGCGGACATGTTTTGATACGTGTATCCTGTCTGCATACTGTGCGCACACACACACACCCCCCCCCACGGGCCAAGGGGCCAGTAACCATTGAGATACAGTACTGGCAACTGCTAGGGGTCCCAGAGGAATTTCTCTTACAATTGCAGAGAGTGGCCCCTAGCGCCTCCAGCAATTTCAAAACCAGTGAGGAAGAGCGAGCCTCCCTCTGCCCGCAGTCCAGTTAATGAGGGGTGGCCTTTGTGATCTGCCCCTGGAATGAGGGCTTTGGGGAGGGGACAGGCTGCCTTTGTGGCTTTCAGATCCCCTGGAGCCAAGGCCTCCCTCCCTTATTTGGTTTGGAACCGCTCTTGTGGTCTGCTGGGGAGAAGCCTGCCAGGAAAAGCCAATCTACTCGGGGTTGGGGTGGGCTGCTCCCACTGGTTGCCAATTGCCTCTCACTTGTACAGCATGGCTTTAATTATAGTTTTGCCAGAAATCATTTTCGTAATGGCTACTAACAATGATCTACTCAGGGAAACCTGAACCAGATTGTGTCAGGCCATGTGCACTAACCGGAGTCAATTGAAATCGAACCCATCAGGATTCATCTTTCCTGCGGTCCTCATTGAAAACGGGGGAACAAATGAACGGAGCCCCTAAAGGCGTGGGACACTCTGCTAAAGGCACGAGAGCCACGGTGGTGGACAGACGCTCTAGGAGTTCAAGGTCTTCCCAAGTAGAGATCTGCAGTTTAATTCCTGTCAACTAACAGGGGCTCCAAGACTTGCCTTTAAGCGAAACAATCAATTATTGCATTGTTCTTTTAGGGTTGTTTCCTTTGGCCCAATTTCAGGGGCCTTACGTTTCAGAAGCCTCTGTGGACTTCCTCTTGGAGATTTGCTGGAAAGTAGGCTGTTTTGCCGGCTGCCCGAAGTCCCCAGAACAACAGCTGCAGCAATCAGTTTGGCGACTATCAGCAGGCTCTCCATTTAAATCATAAACTACAGTGGTGAATGGGGAGAAGCCTTCTCTATATTGTATATTCCCTGACCAAACAAAGCAAATGTAAAAGGCATTTATGAGACACCCGGGGTATTCGGAACATTGACGAGAGATGTGATGTTAATGAATTGTTCATTTTGTAGGTGTGGTAATGGTGGTGTTGTGGTTACGGGTTTTTTAAGAGTCATTATCTCTTAGAGATACCTGCTACAGTATTTACAGATGAAATGATACGGCTTTTGCTTTACAATAATCCAGCAGGTTTGGGATAACAGATGAGATGGCATTGGCCACATGCTGAGAGTTGTCTGGGGGCTGGGTTTGGGGCACATGGGGCTGCATTATACTCTCTTCTCTCTTGTTCCTGTTTGGAAGTTTCTATGGTAAAGTTTAAAAAACAGCAATAAGCTTAATTATGTGAAACATACTTATGTTCCCTCCCTACTCACTGAGTCTAGAAGAATAGATGGAAGGGGCTTAATCATTGCTATAATCAACCTATAAACTACATGATGCCAAGGACTGCATTATTCACTCCATAGACATAACAGCCCTCAGGAATCCATGCTACCAAAGGTTACCTGCTTACTTTCTTATCAAAGGTGTTCATGAAGCTGATCTTTATAGAATGAAATGTAAGGAAATCTCTATAATATTTGAAATCTCTTCATTTTCTTCCACTTTTATTGTAGTTTTTTTTCGGGGGGGGCACACAGCCAAAGGAAATTTGAGAACTTGAACCCCTCAGATAAAAAACAGCCACCAGAGGGAAACAGAGAAGCAAGTTTCCGTTAACTTGGAACATTCCCGAACCTGGGGGTCAGCGCCAACTGTGACATTACAGGACACACTAGCGAGCCCAGTGATTTCCCTCATCATTACCCGTTAGTTAATTTTGAAAGCAATGATTAGGGCACTTTTGAGAAAAAAAGAACGGCCAAAGTGACACCTCAGCGACTGATCACAGGATCCACCTATGCTACTCAACTGTTCCAGTGGCAAGTCCGAAAACACTCCACTTGTCACCACACAGGCAAACATTCCACATGTACACTTGAGACTGCAACAAACTGCTTCTTAATACTGTCATTTGCAAGAGCTAGGACAGTGAAGCAGCTTCTTTCGTGACTAGGTATGTGTGTTGGGTGGGGAGCAGGGTTTGGGGAGATGTGTTCTAGAAGCCACCGCCAGTTCTATTTCGAGTTAATAAAGCTTACCAGGACCTGGGTCTCATGCAGCATGCAGCAAACAGCAGAGTTAACTGTAAAATAGTAAGAGCTGATGAAGATGGAGTGAGCTTGAGGAGAAATCCAATATTATGAGTTGACACAAACGATGAAGGGTAAGCGATCAAAGGAAATGAGGAAGAGTGGGGGCGGGGGAGGGGGAGGGCAGGCTGCTAGGGACCCCTGAAACACCGGTACTCTTTCTTAACCTCTGCAGAGACATGTCTCCCTACGTAGGGTCTTCTGCCTGGAGCGGGGGTGGGGGGGGGTAATCAGTCCATGTGAGACCACTAGGAGAGAGAGCCTGGTCTGGGAGGAACTTCCACTAAACATCCGAACGGGGGGTATTTATAGTTTAGTGTCAGTGGGGTCCAAACAAAGGAATCTCCTGGGGCGCCTGGGTGGCTCAGTCGTTAAGCGTCTGCCTTCGGCTCAGGTCATGATCCCAGAGTCCTGGGATTGAGTCCCGCATCAGGCTCCCTGCTCGTTGGGAAGCCTGCTTCTCCCTCTCCCGCTCCCCCTGCTTGTGTTCCCTCTCTCACTGTCTCTCTCTGTCAAATAAATAAATAAAATCTTTAAAAAAATAGTGTTAAAAAAACAACAAAGGAATCTCCTAATTCCTGCAAGCAGGCTGCGAGGCTGCCCCAGGGATTGAGTTAACAAATACCCCAGGCCAGGAAGGCAGCAGGTTAGAGCTAGAAAACAAATTTAGTTCTTTCTGATCTTAAAAACAAGAACCCGTTCCTGCTGGTGTGACTCACACACAACGCCAGGTCAGTTAATATACGGTGTGTCCAAAGAGGCTTTTTTTCCTGGCTGGTTAAACTTTATCCATCAGGTAACACCAAAACAAGCTCATTAGTCAGTGAATCTGACACAGAGTGTGGTGACTCAGTAACAAAAATCTCTGGGCTCACGGGTGAAAATGTTCAAATTACACTTCTGAATAATTGGATGGCGAAATCGAGTGCTTTCAGATAGTAACTATTTTACTGTTGTACCGAAGTCACGGTCCTATTCCTTTTTTTTTTTTTTTTTAGGATTTTATTTATTTATTTGACAGAGAAAGACAGAGAGAGAAAGGGAGCACAAGCAGGGGGGAGTGGGAGAGGGAGAAGCAGGCTTCCCGCTGAGCGGGGAGCCTGATGCGGGGCTCGATCCCAGGACCCCGGGATCATGACCCGAGCCGAAGGCAGACGCTTAACGACTGAGCCACCCAGGCGCCCCTGAAGTCATGGTCTTATCCCTAAGTGATCAGCCAGGCACGGAGGAAAGAAAGAGGCTCCCTCCTTCTGGCAGACAGCCCATAGTTGAGTCAGGAGCAAGTCGCTAAGAACAGAAGGCAAAGACCGTGGACACCTTTCGGATCCTCGGGCCCCTTTGGTAAGGACGTGGCCCAGCACTCCCTGTGAGGGTTCCCTGTGTCACACTGCACAAGCAATAGGAGCACAGGGGAGCCCTGGATAGGTCCCACTGGACAGCCTCTCCTCTCCTCGGACTCCGGGATGAGGAACGGGGAGCTCGGGCCAGCAAAGCCTGGAGTCGGCTCAGGGCTATGGGTCCGCACGTAAGCAGGAGCCCGCGCTGTCCTGCCTTACCAAATACCAGGGCAGATGGACGGACTCTGCTTGAGGACGGGGCACGTGGAGTCTACTAGCATCTGGGGGCTCCCCACCAAGTTCTCGGCATCCCGGGCCAGGAAGGACGAAGCGGCCAAGAGGCAGGGATGGCACAGACTGGGAGACCCGGACTGGGCTGCAGCCTTCAGTAAAAGCAGTTAAACTGCTGGCTGTAGCTAAGTGAGAATGGGGTTGGGGGGCTGCAGGCATGGGGAGGTGAACATCTCAGACACAAGGATGAACAAGCGGGCCCGTAAGCCAGATCAGCGCCAGCTTCTTGGGCGAGAGAGAGGGTGCCCAGAGGCTTCTGCTAGGGCACACTCTCCCCGCTCCCCTCTACCTTTCCTTCTCCTTCACCTCTTACACCTCCGCAGATCTCATGGTTTCCTCCTTTCTTTTTCCCCTCCCACATTCCGTTCGCCTCTCTTCTGTCTCTCCCTCTCCTCCTACCCGAAGCTTGCAAGGCTTTCCCAAGCAGCCAAGCGGAGGGGCCGGGCTCCCGGGACCGCAGCGCCCCCCCCGCTACTCTCAGTTCCCCAAACTCAGGGGACACAGAGACCAGTTGTAGGGACCCAAACACAAAACGCACCTGTCGGCCCCCAGCCCCCCTAGGCTCCGGGCCCTGTGCTGAGGGGACGAGCAGGAGGAAAAAGGAGCCACAACCCCAGAGCCGCCCACCACTTACTTTTTCTTTTCTTTGTCCCTCTTCAGAGTCTGTGAGCCTCCAGCTTGGGAGCCCTGGGACTGGAGCAGCTCAGCCGCCGTCTTTCTCTGTTTGAAAGCGTTCACTTCATCGTCCAGGGATTTCTTCTTATCCTCCAGCTTCTTCTTCTCGTCCTGGTGCAGTTTCTTCAGACGGTCAAACTTCTCGTGTAGCTGGCAGGAAAGCACAGGGGGTCTGAGGAGGGGCCCCCCCGGGGAGCTCCTCCCCGAGGAGCCAAGCCCAGGGCAGGTGAGGACCGGCAGGACCCGGGCACCTGAGGAGACATGTCCGCCAGGCACTGCTGGGATGGCACCGTGTTCGGAGCGGAGCCCTTTCCTGCCACTTCACCTCCACGTTTCTGCTCTTGAACGTGGTCAGGGAACTGTTATTAATGAAGGTGAATTAATCATTAGTATCAAGAACCATTTCTGTTATTATTGGTATTTTATGAGGAAACAGAAGGGCAGAGAAGTGAAGGAATTTGCCCAAGGTTAATCCATGCTTCGGAGGATTATACAGTGAGATCACCCAATATGAGAGGGGGGCCCCTATCTTTCCTTACCCCCTCTGGTCAAGGAGGATCACCATGGGTTGCAGAGAAAACTTCAGCAGTGCCAAAGCTGGTCAAAGAAAACACTTGTCCTCAGACATGGAAAGAGATGAAAGGATTTTATAAAATGGACTGAGGGCAGAGACCTCAGCTTTGACCAAGGGGAGACTCAGCTAGCCCTGAATAGAACCAGACAGCCAAAGGAGAATGGTAAGGACGTTCTGGCACGCCACTGTGCTGACACACCAGAACGTGATAAAGTACCCTGAATATTAAGAGCACACCAAGCATAACCTCTCTTTCTTTTGAGGGTTCTGGAGAGAATTTAGGATTCCATAGCACTCAAAGCATATCACGGAGGAGGGCAGGTCTCCAGCTCTTACAGGTATTTGGGACTGCCACTTAATAAGGGCTGGCGGACGACAGGCTTGCCGTGTAGCCCAGCTTTTACTAGTCCCCCGGGGTAGCGTGGAGCAAGCTGTGACCATCCATTGCTCTAACCCGGCTCTTGTTCATTGGCCTTTCACTCATTTATCTTTGAGATCCCCTCACGTCTCCTCCAAAAGTACTGGGTGACATCTTTCTTTTGAAAAGTGAAACTGAAAAAAAAAAAAATCAATGTCCATGCCATGGACTTAGGTCTTGACTCTTGAGCAGCACCGCCCAATAGACCTTTCTGTGGTGACGGAAATGTTCTATAGCTGTGCCGTCCAGTATGGTAGCCACTAATCGCAGGAGGACTGAGCATTTGAAATGCGGCTAATGCGACCGAGGAACTGAGTTTTAAATTTTATTTCATTTTAATCCGCTTAAGTGTAAATAGACACATGTGACTAGTGGCTACAGTATGGGAGGGCGCAGCTCTAGAGAATTAAGTAACACGGAATGAGAACACATCCTGGCCTGGGGGGATGAGGGATCGAGAAGACACAGATCTCATATCGTCCTCGGGGCCAGCCAAGGCAGGGCTGCTGATGCCGGGCCCCATTCCTGCCTGGAAGCTTCGAGGCTCCCGCTGGCTGTGTCCCAAGTTCAGCCCCCTCTTCCTGCCTGCTGGGCAGTCAGGGTCACATTTACCTCTTTCTCTGCCTCTTTAAGTTCAGCTTCTTTCTCTTTGACTCTCTGGACAAACATCTGTCTCATCTCCTCTTCCTTTTTCTGGAGCTCCCCCAGGAACTCATTCCTTTTGGCCTCATAGGTCTCCTGTAAGCTGCGAATATGGTCAGGTTAATTCCCTTGCCTTTGGAATGACTCCTAGTCAATGAAAACTGGCCCCAGGGATCCTCCCCGGGTCCCCCGACCCCCCCTTTCGCCAATTCTGGGAGAGGTGCCAAAACAGAACCACCAAGCTGCAGGCAGCCGGCCTGGCATGTGACAGCAGGGTCACGGGCTGCTTGTGGGGGCTGGGGCAGCCCTGGGGAACTGACAAGATACTTGGAACTGGAAGTGACTCAGAGCATCTGTTTTTCCGCCCTGGTTATATAGATGAAGAAAGAGGGCCAGACAGGTCAGGTGATTTGCTCAAGACCACATGGCTAGATAGAGGCGAGCCAGGGACCAGAAGCTGGGTCTCTTGTCTCTTAATCTGGGTCCTTCCTCTGCACCGGGCTCCCAGGTCCTGGCTCTGAAACTGACCACATTAGTGAATTATTTCAAAAACACCCGGTGAGACTCCATCGTGTGCTAGACACAGGACTAAGCGACACTCTGCTAGTCATTCAACATCTAGAGCCAACAGCCACTAGGCCCGCCATCAAGGAACTCATGGTCTACTGGGAGATGCCCAGGCCAAGTCTCCACACCCCCAGCCTCAGTTTTAAAGCAACAGGGGTCAGCCTAGTGAAGAGGAGGAGGAATCATGCTCCGAAGAGGGCAGCAGGTGGAAGGCCACATGTGGAGAGAGGCTGATGTACTTGGGGAGCTACGCATAGTCCAACATGGCCGGAGAACACGGTGGAGGCTGTGGAGTAGAGGGAGGTGAGGTTCCCGAGTCCGGCAAAAGAGAGTGGGTTCTGGATGTGGTCTTACCCACTTGGTCATTTATGCACTGCAGGGTTTCAAGCAGGAGGACTGACTTCATGACATTTGAAGATGAGAAACACCACCCAGGCTGTTGCGTGAAGGACAGACTTCCCAACAATCCAAATAAGAAATGATGGGATCGCTCAGTCCCACAAGAAAGCCGGAAAAAAGAAAGAGATCTCACCATTTGCCACGATATGGGTGGAGCTGGGGGCGGGTGTGAGGCTAAGTGAAAGAAGTCGGCCAGAGAAAGACGAATGCCACGTGATTTCACTCATCTGTGCAATTTAAGAGGCAAAACAAACGAACCAAGAGAAAGGGGAGACAAACAAACAAACAAAAAAACCAGGCTCTTAAATACAGAGAATAAACCGTGAGTGCTTGCTGGGGGATGGAGGAAATAGGGTAAAGAAGAAACGATGGGATCTGAATGTTAAGGGCTGGCAGGGATGGAGGATTTGGGGGAACTTAAGCAACAGTGAGGGAAGCAGAACTCCTAGGGCTTGGAAGGACTTAAAATAATTGGGGTGTTTGGGCTCGGGCAACCCGGTGGACGGTGGACCCGTGAAGTGCAGCAGGGAACACTGCAAAAGGGGTGTGTTTACGAGGGAAAAAGATGAACTGAAGCTTAGACAGCTGCATTTGGAGGTACGTCCTCCATGGGACATCTGAGTGAGAATATCTGGTCAGCAGTTGGAGCAATGGGTTTGGAGCTCAAAAGTACGATTTTGGCGGGGGACTCATCCCTTTCTAGGCGTAAGTAGGGCTGATCGTACAAAGAACCTGCCACCAGGAGAACACAGCGCGACACAAGCAGAGGCCCTAGGAAGGACCCCTGGGGCACACCAACATTTAAAGGAGTAAGCTGAGGACAAGGAGCCTGCCCGTATGGGCCAGAAGGAGCGGCGAGAGAGAAGGACCCGACCCAGCCAGGTCAGTGCGAGAAAAGCCAAAGGCAGAGAGAATTTCAGGAAAGAGGCAGTGGGGAGGAATATCGAAGGACGCATTGAAATAAGAAAAGATGGGACTCAGACGCCCCATCATAACTGGCCATGAGCATGTGATTGTTGGCCTCGGAGAGAGGCATTTCAGAGGCGCAGTGGGGGCAAAAGCCAGTAAATACAAACCACTCTTCCTCTTTCCCACCAGAGCCAAACTTCTTGAAAGGGCAGGGGGTGGCGAGGGGGAGGAGTTAAGGGAGTGTTTCTTCAGGATGAGCCTGTCTGCGTGCAATGCGGAAAGGAGCCCGGGCAGAGGGCGAAGACTCGGGTAACAGGTGTTCAGGATGGAGTGGGAGGAGGGGAGTGGACTAGAGAGGAGCAGGCAGACCCACACCTCCTCCACCACAGATGCAGATTAAAGCTGTGGGAGAGGGACGCCGGCGGGCTCAGTCGGTTAAGCGTCTGCCTTCGGCTCAGGTCGTGATCCCAGGGTCCTGGGATGGAGCCCCACATCGGACTCCCTGCCCCGTGGGGAGCCTGCTTCTCCCTCTGCCTCTGCCCCTTCCCCTCCCCCTGCTTGTGCTGGCTCTCTCCCTCTCTCTCTGACAAATAAATAAAACAAGTCTTTAAAAAACAAAGCTGTGGGAGGGGAAGGAGAGAGAAAACTGAGGGAGGGCCCACCAGAGAGGTGAGCACAACTTCCTCCATCCCCAGGAGCTCCGGCAGCCCCCCTGTCCCTGAAGGGGAGCGAGTCCCCCCTTCTGGAACCAGGCCTCCCTGCAGAACTGGCCACACTCTGCCCGCAGAGGCCAGCTTTGTCCTGGGAACAGACACTATGGGATCTCAGGGGCCATCTGAAAGCCTTCTTGGCCCACAAGCGTCCCCCTCACTTCCTCAATGAGGCCCAACACTTCCTGAGAGGAGACTGAGCTATAAGAAAGGACACACATGGTGATTTCAAGAGTGGGGCTTATGTCCTGCGTCATGCAGACAGATCGACGACGATACTTGGCCTCTGGCTCCTGTCGGCATAGTAAACTGCTTTCGACAACATTCCTCTTGTCTGAAAGCATCTCCGATTCTGATTTGGGAAGTATGTCAAGGATAATTAACATCCCGCGGTCGAAACAAAACTTGCCCCTGAACGCAGACACTCAAGACAGCGCCTGAAGAGCGTGAAGGTCACCGGCACGTGCGCAATGACTGCTACCCGGTCCCGTCATCTGGGCTTGACGAGGGGAAGGAGGGGCAGCCGGGGTCTGAAGAAGAAAGCGGGCCAGAGGACAGGCACGGCTGCCAGGTTGTGGGACGAAGCCTCGGCTCAGGGGTCCCCTCCGGCACAGCGGACAGCCGGCGCGCGCAGGTGTGTGTGTGGCTGTGGGTGTGCGGCAGGGAGCCCGGGGGCCTCGCTGGTCCTCTGGCCGTCCTCCCCGGCCCAGCGCTCACCGAGCCCGCCTTGCCGCCGCGGAGCGGGCGGCAAGTGCAAGGGGCAGGTGACAGCTCTGCGGCTCTAGGTCCCGGCCCCCGGGTCTCGCCTCCCCGTGGGAGCTGGCCCGCGCAAGCCTTGCACAGTCACGGGCCGGGCCGGGCTGGCCAGACGGGTACCTGAAGGGTTTGCTGTCGGGGTCGGTGTCCTTGAAGCCCATCTCCTCCAGCTTGCAGCGCCGGTAGAGCTCGTAGTGCCGGCTGTGGGTCTGCTCCCGGAGGTCCTCCATGTTCACCCGGATCAGCATCTCCCGCAGCTTCACGAAGTCGCAGTGGGCCTCGTTCTCGACTGCACGGCAGGGGAGGGGGGATTGAAAGCGCACTGAAAGGAAGGCCAGAAGCGGCGGAAAAGGACGAATCGAGAGGCCAGATGCCTCACGGCCACATGGCCTTTCCACCTGTGTATCTGGAGCCTGCGAATTTGCCTCCTGATTCACTTTTCCATGGAAAACGCACGCGGAAACTTACAAGGCTGACAGTAACGGAAAACTGCGAGACCATAAAAAAAATCTAAGAAGACATTCGGTAGCACCTCAACCCAAATGCACCAGTCAGACCCTCCTGGGAATGTTTATTTGCTCTGCACGACACTTAGGCTCATGGCAAATGCACATTCAGCCATCTGTCCAATAGATAGTTGTGGTATCTCTGCTCCCAGTATGGCATGAGGCACCGGGAATTCAGAAACGAAGCCATGGACTCTTGCCCTAAGGATCTTTTTTTTTTTTAATTTTTTATTGTTATGTTAATCACCATACAATACATCATTAGTTTTTGATGTGGTGATCCATGATCCATTGTTTTCATATAACACCCAGTGCTCCACGCAGAACGTGCCCTCTTTAATACCCATCACCAGGCTAACCCATCCCCCCACCCCCCTCCCCTCTAGAACCCTCAGTTTGTTTTTCAGAGTCCATCGTGTCTCATGGTTCGTCTCCCCCTCCGACTTACTCCCCTTCATTCCTCCCCTCCTGCTATCTTCTTCTTTTTCTTTTTTCTTAACATATGTTGCATTATTTGTTTCAGAAGTACGGGTCTGTGATTCAACTGTCTTGCACAATTCACAGCACTCACCATAGCACATACCCTCCCCAGTGTCCATCACCCAGCCGCCCCATCCCTCCCACCCCCCACCACTCCAGCAACCCTCAGTTTGTTTCCTGAGATTAAGAATTCCTCATATCAGTGAGGTCATACGATACATGTTTTTCTCTGACTGACTTATTTCACTCAGCATAACACCCTCCAGTTCCATCCACGTCGTTGCAAATGGCAAGATCTCATTCCTTTTGATGGCTGCATAATATTCCATTGTGTATATATACCACATCTTCTGTATCCATTCATCTGTCGATGGACATCTTTTGCCCTAAGGATCTTACAGCGGAGTGGAAGAAGAGATGCAACTAGGCAAATATAATACAATGCAAAAATGACCAAAATGGAGGTCCATGCGGTGCAATCCCAGAAGAAGGGGGCCGAAGGTGCCCCAGCAGAGTGAAGGCTTCACCGGAGAGGCAACCCTTAAGATGACTCTTGAGGGAAGAATCAGAATTTATCAGGCAGATCAGGAAAGAGCCCACGCAAGGTCTCAATAAGGTTAGGCAAGGTTACGTGGCTAGCAAGTTGCAGTTGGGATTGAAATGCAGGCGAACTAAAGGAGAGGCAAAGGCTCTGAGCAGGTGCCAAGTCTCCAAAGAATAAAAGGGAAGAGCTAGGACATCTATAGATGGCAGGGACCAAGAGGGCTGTGGACCAAGGTGGGGCTCGCCTGGATGGGAGGTCGTAGTTTCAAAGGAGGTGTTTTTTAGAGGGTGGATAATGGCCTGACAGCAGCAATGACGACCAGGACAAAGTGGACCCCACTTTCTGGCCTGAATGAACAAGCGCCCCCACCCCACCCCACCCCCCGTCAAAAGAGTATGGCAAAGGTCTGCATTTGGGGCAGTAGCCCAGAAGGACAGAAATAGAGACCAAATCATAGCAAAGTGGACTTCCGGTTGGAATACAAGGTTGTGTGCCTCCAGGCATGGCTCCCCTGGGTTGTGGTGGGGGTGTCTGGCCTGACCATGTGGGGACAGTGTGGCATCTGAGATGATGAACTGGCCTAGTCACCCTAGGTTCTGTCTTCCAGGGCCCGGGAGAGGGGAGTGGGGACAGGGAGGGGGTCTGGGATGACAGGGTGGGTCACAGTTGCAGCAGACTGCCTTGTGGCCATCAGAGTAACCTTTCCAGAGCTCAGATGGGCTCACATAACCCCTCTGCTTAAGACCCATTGCTTTGGGGCACCGGGCTGGCTCGTTGGAAGAGTATGCAACCCTTGATCTTGGAGTCATCAGTTTGAGTCCCTGTACACTGGGTGTAGAGATTACTTAAATAAGTGAAACTTTTAAAAATTAAAAGAAAAAAGACCCACTGCCTTGGGAATAAAGCCCCTTGCTGCCATAGAACATAAGCTAATATTAAAAATCACATCAGTCAGGCAACTTCTCGGGACCAGCTCTTCCTCCAAGTCCGGACAGTGATCCCTGGTGGCTGGTCAGAAGGACTGCCTCCAAGGTCACTCGAACAGAACAGTGAACTCCAACTTATACAAAAAACCTTCAAAAACCCCTTTGTTGGTTAGGTGTGCACGATCTAAATTGGAGGAAGTCACTGGAACCACAGACTCATTCCCAGTTAGGACTATGGGTCCAGGAACCATTCACAAAACGTCCCTAGCAGAGCATCTCGGCCCCAGACGGCAGAGAAGACCAAAACCTAGCCCAGCTCTGATAACCAGTCCTGTCCTACCTATGGAAAAATCCAGCGATCACTGGAGAGGCTCCAGCGTGCCCGAAAGCATGCCAGCCTTGTATGTGAGGTGGACAACTTCCTACCCACTTCCCATTGTTTGCTCAGTGGCAGGGATGAGCATACGGTGAATCAGCCGCCCTCTCGCACACGGTGCCCCTCTAAGACCCAGCTTAGAGCTGAAGACTTGGAGGACCAGACGCCTCTTCTGCCCAGGCCTTGCTTTATCCACAGAACTGACTAGTTCCACGGGTAACTTACCACGGGTCAGACAGACCACAAAAGGAAGTTTCCTGAGTGTATATACATCTGTTTTGAAATTGTATAATAATTATATATATATACAGAAATAAAGAAGAAAAAAATGGATACCAATGTATCTACAACCCCGTGAAATAGTACCAGCACCTTGTGTCTCTACCTGGTCTGGAAACAAGACTTAACCATTATCCTGACTTTGGGCTTTATCATTCTTCCTTTTACTTTATGGTTTCGCCACTTACATATGAAGTCCTGAAAAGATAGATCTTGTTCAGTGTTGTCTACTTTGGGAATTCACATCAACGGAATCATACGACATGTTTTCTTTGATTTATTGAGCCCAATGTTATGTTTCTGAGGTTCATTCCTGTACAACAAGTAACTATAATCCATTCATTTTCGCCACTGTCTAGCATCCCATTAGATGAACATTTTGCAATTCATCCGATCTATTTTTGATGGTTATCTGGGTTGTCTGCTACTCATCTGCTATATTCTTGTACATCTCCTGGTGCCCTGGGGCACCTGGGGCCAACACACAGACTTTCTTGAACATTCCTTCTTACCTGGCTCCAAAAGCACTCGCTTTTGTTTTAGGAATGCTTTCGCCATTAGAGGCAAAGAGAGCTTGCTCACAGCAGAGAATCCAGGGGTGGGGCCAAAGCTGCTGGAAGCCCAAGGCAAATGAATACAGACCGGGGACAAGTTAGGGACTAGTCACACAGTGGCTGGAGACAGGGAAAGGGGCCCCCGTCTCCTGGAGACTCACTCACCCTGCACCGTGCCCCAAGGATACTGCCGTGCCTTCATCATCTTGTTGCCTATCTTCAGCTCCTCTGTGCTGCCGATGACAGCGAACGGCAGGTGCGCCTGGAACAAGGCAAACCGAGGCTCAGAGCAGAGCTCTGTGAGAAAGGCGCCGGCTCCAGAGCTTCGGGCCCATCACACTGCGGTAGTGGCCCTCCCTGTTGCCATCATCAAGAGGCATTTCTGAAGCTCTGAGCTGTGTGGGGCTAAGAGACCCAGTCCAAGCTTCTGCTGTTCAGAAATTCTCAATGATGTGGCCGAACACACAGGGAACAGACGAAGATGGAAAATAAGCCGAATCGCGAGCAGGTACCCAGATTAGCGCACTGTTCAGAATGCACAGGTGCTGAGGGCGGAAGCCTTTGGAAGGTGGGTGAGTGGGATGAGGGGGGCTACGTGTGGACAGAGAGGCTAAAGGATCGCTGCCCCCTCCCCCGAGTGCGAGAGCCCCGGGAGCCGGTACGTACTATAACCACACCGCTGACTGAGCTCTGCGCTCCTTGTTTTCATCCTTCCCTTGAAGCAAGAGCCCATGTGCAACTCTTGAGCCTAGAAGTCAAGTCCACAGGTATTTTCCCACATGCCCATAGCTGTGCTGGGTTGTTTTAAGCGCCGTAAGGGAGACAAAAGAGGCAGAAGGCACACACTCCCTCACCCTCTAGGAGCTTACAGTCTTATTAGGAGCACCGGAATTACATACCCGGAATGGGTGCTTGCAGGGTCATGGGGAGCTAGGCCTGGCTGATGAAGGTTTTGGGAATCAGAGGAAAGGCAACTGCCTGCAGCTGGTAGCGGGGAGCTTGGGAAAGGCTTCCAGCACCCTGTGACCCCTGGCCAAGTGGAACCCGTGAATAAATACTGTTTACAAACCAGGGGGTCCTGGGGAGGGGGGGCTCTACCCAAAAGGCCTTTCCCCAGACAAGGGCAAGTCCACTGGAGCAAGCTTTCTTAGCCCACCAGGAGAAACAGGCCTCCATCACAGATACTTGGACTCATTTGCTGACTCATCCGTGCTACGCGTATTTACTGAGCCCCTACCGTGTGCTAGGCATTAACAGTACAACGTCGAAGAGGCTCGGAGCCTGCTCCTAGAGAGCGCACGGTCTAGCAGGAGAGAAAGACACGCCGACAATAATATTGATTATAGGGGCGCCTGGGTGGCTCAGTCGTTAAGCGTCTGCCTTCAGCTCGGGTCATGATCCCGGGGTCCTGGGATCGAGCCCCGCATCGGGCTCCCTGCTCCGCAGGAGGCCTGCTTCTCCCTCTCCCACTCCCCCTGCTTGTGTTCCCTCTCTCGCTGTGTCTCTCTCTGTCAAATAAATAAATAAAATCTTTTTAAAAAATAATAATAATATTGATTATAAACAGAGGTCCAAGAGCCGGAGGGACAGAGGAGGGAGCAGCTCACTCCACAAAGTCAAAGCAGGCTTCACAGAGGAGGCGGCAGCAACTGCACCAGCAGTTGGGGTAGCTATCGAACAGACATGAGCTGCAGCGGCAGCCTACGCGGCTCGCTGACTCTTTCCAACAGCACAGTGAGTTAGGTATTCTTATCCCCATTTTATAGACAAGGAAACTGAGGTCCAGTTGCCAGCGGGCACACAGCAGTGAGGGCCAGAGCTAGGGAGGGAACCCAGGTCTCTCTGGCTTCAAAGCCCGCCACCGGGCTGCCACGCCCACGCAGCGGGTCCGAGCAGCCGATGGGGTGAGCGCTGTAAACCCCCGGGGTGATCTGCTTGCACAAGGCCAGATGATAAGAAGCAGTTCGATTCTGGCAAACCTACAGCGAATGTCTTTTGTTTGCCTGATCTGCGTGCTGATGTCACAGCCAATCCTTCTTCTCCATTCTCTTTAGCACCTGCCCCCCAAGGATGTTCTTCAGAGTGGAAAACCACAGGACTTAATCGGGAGCTCAGCTCCAGGACACCCGCAAGTCCCCCGAGGGGCTTGGTCATCCCCCTGAGGTGGCTCTCGCATCACCCTCTGTTAGCCGCTCTCAGAGCATCACCTCAGCAACCCCCTCCACCCCTTCCCACTCGGCTCACTGTGCCTGAAGCGAGGACACAGGAAAGAGGAGGTTATGGGTATATGGAGGATGGGCCGGGCTGGCCGCCGGAAATGTTGCATCGGTCCTAGGAGGGGACTGAACGTGAGGGTCTTTGGGCGTGCGACACACGGGGCACGAGGGCCAGAGCCTCCCTGACCCCTGCCAGCTGGCTTTGTCGGAGGGACACCCCTCGGGCACGGTTCATTCCCACTCAGGACCCCAAGACACGTGGGGAACCTCAAATCCAGCCCCAAGCGCTTTCTGGGAAAATGCTGCCCCTCCTGCCGAGACCCAAGACTTCAGCCACGTGACACAAAAGAGCCAGAAGGCAGTGATGGCAGAGGGCTAGACTGAGGGACGAGGTGAGGAAGAGAAGCTTCGGGGGCATCCCCTGCTCTCAGCTGAAAGTGATGGAGGAGGGCGTGTGACGTGACCGGGGACTTCTCTGGGCTCAAGAGGAAAGGAGGAAAAAAACCCAAGAAGAGAATAAAGGCATTAAAAAAACAAAACAAAACCGTTTTGTCTTTCCTTGGGCCTGTTAGATTTATCCCCACAAGCCACTGCTAGTTAGGATGACAGGGTCACTCGCTTCCCCTCTTCCTCACCTCGCTGTCATTCTGTCCCTGCCTGCAGTAAGGCACAGCCCCCCCCCCCAGGGCTCCCGAGACCTCCTGGCACACGCTTGGCACCTGGCATCAAAGTGTGTTCAGATAAGCATCGGCGAGCAGAATTTTTCTGGGTGCTGCCGAGCAGCTCTGGTTGGCTTCTCACGATAGCCCTACGGGGCGGTTCTCATACACCCCATTCGCCATCTGGGGGAAACGACTAGCCCAGGTCCCTAACTCCTGGGCCCAAATCTTGCCAGGGAACAGTAAGGCCACCGTGCTTTAGCTGCCGGGCCCTCCCAGCCACCTGCAGCCACCGGCGCTCTGCCTCGTGGCTAAATGGCAAAAAGCCGTCTCGAGGTGTCGTGCAAAAACGACAGCTCATTACACTGTGAAGCGGGAGTGACAGTCATTTTGGGCAGGATATCATGGCGCCGGGCTTCGGCCCTCGTTCCGCTGCTCTCGAGAGACGGGCGGCTTTGACGACCAGGAGAGAGTCGAGCAGAGCAGGGAGATGGTACACCCTCCAAGCAACCACACTCCTGGGGGTGACACTTTGCAGGTGTGGGCCCAGGGAGGAGATTCTGATGGCGGCAGGACAGCGCTGTCCCTGAAACACGGGCAGATGTGCCCCCCGACGTCAGATGTCCAGTCTCCGAAAACTCCAAAAGACACTCTCAAGCCTCCTGTTGGGAGTCTGTTCTCAGATTCACTACCTTTCCTGTCTTGTGTCTACCTTAAATTCCTCTCAGTATAGGGGCGCCTGGGTGGCTCAGTTGGTTAAGCGTCTGCCTTCGGCTCAGGTCATGATCTCAGGGTCCTGGGATCGAGCCCCGAGTCGGGCTCCTTGCTCAGCAGGGAGTCTGCTTCTCTCTCTCCCTCTGCCCTGCTACTCTGCCTGCTTGTGCTCTAAAATCTTTTTTTTAAATAAATAAAATCTTTTAAAAATTCCCTCAGTATATTTTAAAGTGTTGGATGATCCAGTTGGCACGAATTAGTCTATTCCAGTTCCAGAACATCCATTATAGTTGGGAGGCTGGATGACCGTTCTCCTCAGCCTGGTGAAATAGAGATGGTCAGCACCGTTTATTCCTTGCCTGATAATAACCCGATTGGGAGTGGCTTCCTCCCAACATAGCAATCTTTAGAATTAAAGTCTACAACCTTGAGAGTTATCATCAGAGCATGGGTTGAAGAAGCATGCGACAAGACCGCTCACTCCCTTCTCGCCAGCACACTTTGGATGGTTGGAAGAAATGACCCAGAACCTCCTCCCAGCCAAAACAGCGTGACTGAGAACCTCTGCTTTACAGCACGAGAAGTTTCCAGCCCAGAGGCTGAGCGTACCTTAGGTTCAAGCAGGAGGAGGGCACAGCTGAGCTGAGAGCAGAGCCCAAAATGACTGTCACTCCTGATTCACAGTGTAATGAGCTATCGTTTTTGGATGACACCTCGAGATGGCTGAGAACTCTTTCTCCTTTTTATTCTTAGCAAAGCAAACCACAAGCCCAAAAGCTACCTGGCCATGTAGGGAACCCAAGTTTGAAGGTATCTATGGGGCCCAGTGCTCTGAGGTGACTAAGCGCCTCCAGGCATCATGCCAGGGACACCACATGACACTTCTCTCTAGGTTCCCTTTTTTCTTTTAAAAAGGACTTTATTTATTTGAGAGAGAATGAGTGAGAGACGGGAGAGAGAGCACGAAAGGGGGTCGAGTCAGAGGGAGAAGCAGACTCCCCACTGAGCGGGGAGCCCGATGTGGGACTCGATCCTGGGACTCTGGGATCATGACCCGAGCTGAAGGCAGACGCCTAACCAACTGAGCCACCCAGGCGCCCCAAGGTTCCCATTTTTCTGCAGGCTAGGCACCCTTTCAGGTTTTCTCATCATGGCAGAGTCTGGTTTCCATCAAAATGCCCTGACTGCTTGAGAGGATAAGGGCTCATCTTTCTGTTCCCCCTTTTTTCACACTCATGATGGGTCAGAGAGGCTAGGACGCTACCCACCCCAAGCCATGTAGCCTTACTCTTAGGCCAGACTGGTCAAAGATGATGAGGGACTTCTAATAACGAACACATCTCGGGTGTACCGATGGGTGGCAAGGTGGACGGAGACAATGACTTGCAGCCCCGCCATGCTAATTTGTTGGCCAGATTCTAGGAGGTAGGAGCTGATACCATAATGATAACTCAGGGGCGGCGGCAGCTGGAAAGTTTTCTAAAAATGGCTTTTATTACCAGCCTTTCCTGAGTTTGGCTATACCCGGGCATTATGTCATCAGGAAAAACTGATGCCTCTCAACAGAGAGAAAAAAAAAAATCTGTTCTCAAAGCAGAGGCTTTCCAAAAGCTATTAGCTGTCTCCTTGAAATCACAACATTGAAGATTTCGCAGCAACAGCATCAACATGTTGTAAAGAAGCATGAGATGTTTGACTCCGCGCCTTGCTCATTACTCATTCCTCTAGTTGCGGTGGGGAGTGGGAGAGGAGAGGAAAGATGGCAAGTTGGGGTGTTTTTTTTTTTTTATTCACACTTAATAAAGCAAAGTATCACCCTGAAACTGAAAAATAACATTTCTCTAGTCACCAGAAAAATCAGAGGCTATATGTCATTTGTCCCCCTGGGGGTAGAGGGCTCGATGATCGGAGTACATATTATCCTGGAGTCTCAGAAGCCAGCCAACTTTTTCTGCTGTGGTTGTCATGGCATTGTTTTGGTCCGAGAGGAAGACTGTTTGCCTTTCTGGCAGGCCCAGGGGGACTGGATTAGACCGAAGCAGCATCAAAGAGGAGGGTGGAAGGAGAGGTCTGAATCCCCGGCTCCAGACTCTTCCTGAGGTTGGCCTTTCCCTCCCTTAGTCTCTGGCTATTAATCTCTGCGTCTCTGAGGCTTTGAGGCAGCCAACACTAAGGGAAAGGAGCTGTTTGGGTTCTGGATTCTTTCTCACAAACACCCGAAATTCTGATGATGGAGAGTTGACCGCACTAAAATGGATGGTGATGTTCGACGACTAGTTTGTAAAATAATAATAATAAAAATAGGGGCGTCTGGGTGGCTCAGTCGTTAAGCGTCTGCCTTCAGCTCAGGCCATGATCCCAGGGTCCTGGGATCGAGCCCCGCATCGGGCTCCCCGCTCAGTGGGGAGCCTGCTTCTCCCTCTCCCGCTGCCTGCCGTTCCTTCCTGCTCATGCTCTCTCGCTCGCTCGCAAAAAATAAATAGAATCTTAAAAAAAAGAAAAATAATAAAAAGGAACAGCAAATGGTCAGAGAGTTGAGCCCCTGTGCCCCAACTCACGTTCATAGTTCCATTGATCTCTGCCACTGACTCGTCATCTGTAGGGAATTGGTAGATCTGGACCCCATTGCTGACAAGTTCACTGGTGATTTTGATTTTGAACTTTGTTAGTTCACTCTTCGAAATGGCATCTGATTTGGCGATGATGGGGATGATGTTCACCTGGGGAAGGGAGGAGAAAAGGGGGATCATTGTTGGTAATCTGCAACTGATAGCAGCATGGCAGAGGACTTCCACCAGCTCAACCCAACGGCCCGGGACTGGCCACCTCTGTAGCTAAATCACAATATAATAAATGACAATGGGTGCCGCTTACTGAGCTCTGGGTACTGGGCTAAGTGCTTTACATGGATTAACACAATTAATCCTGACAACACCTCTCTCAGTTTACCAATGAGAAATTAGTGCACAGAGAGGCTAAGTAACTTGTCCAAGGCCACAGAGCAGGTAAGTAGCAGAACTGGGATCCAGATCTAAGTTTAGCCTTCTTCCTAAATCCAGAGTCTTAACCAGCTCAGCTCCAAACGGATGAGCTGTGTGATATCTTAATATTGAGATCACTGCTTGGGTGATTCCAGGCAGAGAAAGGACAGTTAGGAATCCGTGGTTGACAAGGAGGGGAGGCGGCCACTCCTTGTTAACAGTAAACTGTCCCAACCTATCCGGTGCAGGCTCGCCCCGGTGTGTTAGGGACCCACCCCCATGGGCCATGGCAGGGAGGGGAGGCAGGGCAGAGCTCAGTGAAGGTGCTCACCTGGCCCCCTTTCTGGCAGCAAACTTATGAACCAACCCGGCTGGATGAAGAAGACCCTCGCAGTTACCAGCGTGATCCGAGACTTCATGCAAAAAGGAGTTACACTACCTGAGTTTCGCGATTAATTTCTGCACAAAGCAAGCAGGTATATATGCCCAATTTCCGACAGCAGGACAAAGGCCTAATGCTACCCCGAAGTTCAATCCCCGTGAACCCTACTCCTTGAAATGACTTCAAGGAGAGACAGGGCTTTTGCGGCGAGCAGGTAAAGAATTGTGACACGCACATGCCTTCGTGAGGCAGAGCACACCTAAGCTCAGGTTCACATGGGGGGCAGAGGCGTTGCTGCCAGCAGACTCCTGTGGGGCATCATCCATAGTGCTTGGGCCCCGGAAGGAGCTCTGCACTTGGAGGCCGAAGTCTGCCTGCTCTACGCTTTGCCTGAGGAGTACCCGTAAAGGTGGCTTCCGGTTTCACGCGCCGGGTCAAAGAAACATTGGACCCTGCAGGTACCTTCCTTAAAGTCTTCGCGGGAGGGTGCAGGGTCAAAGCCTTTGCCAAGATGGAAGAGTAGACAAAGCCAATTCTCCTTGTCACTTTTCCCTGTGTCCCCATGGACACACGACAAGCATATGCCAAAGGCTGCTTAACTTAACCCAACCCACCCCGCGGGCCACCGGCGCATGGCTCTCTGCTGCCCCATACAGGACATGCAGGGCAGAGCGACATTTCCAGAGCAGCCGGGTACTCACGGGTGGTGAGCTCATTGCTGCAAAAAAATGAAAAGATTGCTCCTATTTTGATTTGAGCTGAATGTCGGTTTTTTCTTATCACAGATAGGCTACTAAATAATGCATATAAATTAGAATTTCATAAAACAAAATACCTTGGAGTCGGAGAGAGCCAGGTCCAAATCCCAGACCCCTTACAAGTTGTCTGACCTGGAGGAAGCTATTTGTACCTCAGTTTTCTCGTGAGGGAGTGGGAATAATAGCATCCACCACACTGGATTCTTGGAAGGATGAAATAAAATAATGCCTATAAAGTACTCATCCCAGTGCTAGGCACATAGGAAATGTTAGGGGAAAATGTGTTAGGCTTTTTAAGGAATCCTGCATCAATTTTTTTTTGTACAGAAAATACTCCTTTCACAGGAAGAATCCTTGTCTGATTTCTATCTGGTGTGGGACTTACATTTTTCAGTTCCTTTTAGAGCAGGACACGACTGATTCCCACAGCCATCTTTCTCAGGAATGGAGGCCACAGAACGTGGCGCCAGGGATCTGAGTTCGAATCTAGACTCTGCCAGGAGCTAGCTACATGACAACAGGCAAGTCCCTTACCCTCTTAGAGCCTCGGTGTCCACTTCCATAAGTGGGGGATAATGACGCTGTTTCCCTTATCGGGTTGTGAGAATTCAAAGAGACACTCCAGAGGGTGCTTGCGTAATAGTGGCATATAATGAGGATTTATCAAATGTTAGCTGCTGTTACTAAAATTATTATTGATAATAAAAATAATAACTTTCCAAGTGAGGTTTGCATGTTCGATTCTCGAACAGGCCAGTTAATCCTGGGGCAAAGAAAAAACACCTTTCCGTCGCCAACGGCTGAGCCCCTAGGCCCAGACTGCCATCTTGCTTGCAGCCGCCCTTAACCCCCGGAGGGGTCAGAGCAGAACGACGGCTCAGGGTAGACCCACGCCCAGCGCTGGGAAAACAGATCACAAAGCACACAACGCAGGCGGCTGGATCAATAACACCATCTCTCTGGAGGGACGGGGAATGAAGGCCACAGAGCGTCTCCTGGAATCTGGCACCCGCCTGGCCCGAGAGACCAGTAAGGGTGACTCCGGCGTGCCCTGCCACCCGCCCGCCCTCATCCCCTGCCTCTGTACCTTACTGTCCAGCTTCTTCATCGTCACGAGGTCCAGAGACTTCAGGGAATGGCCCGTGGGGGCGATGAAGTACAAGCAGGCATGGATTCGGGAGTCATGGTAGGTGTGCAGTACCCTGCGGATCTTCAGCTCTTCCTGCAGGTAGGCCTCGAACTGGGCGTCAATGAACTCCACGATGGGCTTGTAGCTGGGGAGGGGTGGCAGGAGAGCAGGGACATGGCCCGACCGCTTCCAAACCCGGGCTTTCGGTACAGTCCCTTCTCGAAGTTTAAAATGCCCTGGGTCCGATGACTCTCCCCGGCCAGGTGCATTCCCTCCATCTCCCTTCGACGGGCCGGCCATCAGCTCGGTCGGCGCAGGAGCCGAACTTCTGCCTCTGGCCGTACCTTTGCTCGGGAGTGCCCGCGTCTCTCTTCTCAGCCCACTCCTGCCCCCCGCCCCCAACACACACACCTCAGGGCCATGGACTGTCCACCTCGTCTTCCACACAGCCTTCCCCACTTCTGCCAGAAATCCCTTCTGTGACCCAGGAGTATAAACAAAAATAATTATGCTATCGGATCACTTACTCTCCCTTCACAAGGATTACCGTTCCCTCAAACAGACTGCGTGCCACTGAGGGGCAGGGGCCACGAAGGGCGCTTCTCTCTCCCGCATGGGGCCCCGATGCAGTGTGGAGACCACTGGCAGTGGCTGTGGGTGGGCTGATTGTGCTCCAGGCGGGCTCCACGTCTGTGCTCCCTGCGTCTCCACCCCCGGCCCCTCGTGCCTAGTGTGGGAGCTGGGTACCCGGTGGTGGTGGCCGGGGACCTGTCCTTGACCCACTGCGGAGGAATCTCGTCACGAAGCTCTGAGTTCTGCTCAGTCTTGCTGGGTCTACGGCACTGCCCACATGGCTCTCCTAAGGTCCGTATTTTTCTGGTTCTCATTTCCTCCAAGAGTGTGACTTTAAAATCTAAGCATGTGGACAACATTTGGTAAAGACTGCCCCCCCCACACATGTACACACACACACACCCAGCTCCCTGAGTCTCCACACAAAGTCCCCTTCACGACCCCAAGTCTTGCCAGGGCATCTTAAACCCTCTGCTCCTCCCTGTCCCGGGAAGCTTCTCTCTTCTCTCCTGGGCCTTTCCTGCCACCCCTGCAGCCTCCTTCTGCTCTAACTAGGTCAGCGTGGCTTCAGCTCTGCCTCTGCTCTCACCCCCATCTGTGTGCCATGCAAGGCTTCCTCCCTTCAAGCCAGAAGAGGTTTGTAACCCAAGCAGTGAGCTTTGCAGCTATAGCACCGCCAGATAGAAACAGGATCGAAGCGGGGCGGGGACAGGGCCGGGGCTTCTCACCTGCAGCAGCCCCCAACCTGAGCCTTTCCGAAAGATCCCCCCGGGAGAGAAGGGAAAATAGCTTAAAAAAAAAAAAAAAAAAAGAATCGACAAATCCTAGATTCTGAGCGCTACATACAGATGAGAGATCCAGGTGCAAGTTATCTCTGGAGCCCCAGAGAAAATTCTAAAAATAGAATCCTTTTTTTTTTTTGTCTTCCTTTGATCCCTCTGAGCCAATCATTCTGAAGGGTAACAGCATCCAAGAATCTCTTGGTTGCAGAGAACCTTAGAAGGTTCCTGAAGAATTAGGAGCAAGGGTGGGGGATGCATCCCTTTGACTCCTCTAATTAATTTTTGGATGATTGGCTCATTTGAATTATCGAATCATGGCACTGCTTCTTTTTTTTTTTTCTTTCTCCATTACATAACTTTTTTTGTTACTTCATTTTTTTGTTCTGGAAAAGGAACCAAAGGAGAAAAGAGTGCTTTTTGAGTTTTTTCTCATCCCCCCTCCCCCTCATCTCTGGTAATACCCTGGGCCTATCTTTCTGCAGCTGCCTCAGGCCCTTAGGGGGTCCCTGGATCAGACCAGCCAAACCAGCCAATCAACCGGCAGCATTTGTTCTAGACTAATCATAATGGGTGATTCATCTTTGTCTTACTCATCTGTGTATCCTCAGTGTCCAGCGTGAAGGATTCCACCCCACTCTGTTGTGCTCACTGGCCCCCAGTCCATGATAAACCGAATCCCTTATTCACACAGGCAGTCTCTGCACAAATGTTTCTTTCACCCAGGTCATACCTGATTCCCCTTCAAAGATGGGGCTTCCCTCAGATACCTTCTCAGCTGGAAATTTCTACATCTCTCACACCCAAGTTCCATGGAGGGGTGGAGAAGGCAGCTTTCTTCTCACTCATTATTCCCTGGCCTCCTACAATCTCTTCCATCTGCTACAAAAACCCAGCTCTAAGGCGCACCTGGGTGGCTCAGTCGGTTGAACGTCTGACCCTGGTTTTGGCTCAGGTCGTGACCTCGGGGTCGTGGGATTGAGACAGGCTCCGCACTCAGCAGGGAGTCGGCTTGAGATTCTCTCCCTCTGCCCCCCCTGCTCATGCGCACGCGCGCACCCGCGCGAGCTTCCCTCCCCTCTCTCTCTCAAATAAATAGTCTTTTAAAAAAAAACCCAGTCCCAACATAATCCACCCCTCTTCGTCACTACTGTTTGTCTTTCACATTTTAGGGCACGTGCTCTTTTTTTTTTTTTTAAAGAGTTATTTATTTATTTGTCAGAGAGAGAGTGAGAGCACAAGCAGGAGAAGCGGCAGGCAGAGGGAGAAGCAAGTTCCCCGCCGAGCAGGGAGCCAAACGTACGATTCCTGGGATCATGACCTGAGCTGAAGGCAGACGCTTAACTGATTGAGCCACCCAGGGGCCCCTGGGGCAGGTGCTCTTAACCTGGGGTCCACAGACTTCCAAGGATTCATAGGATCCACGAACTTGGATAGGAAAACACCACTTCGTTTTCACTGAGCTCTCACTAAAGCTTAGCAGTTTCTTCAGGTACAAATGTAGGTAACAATCTACGGTAATTTTAGCAGTACCTGTGATTTCACAGTCAATAGAAATCACTGATATTTTTGCTTCCTATTACAGTTGTTGCAAATATCTCAAAATAGCATTTATACCTTACACACCTTCTAAATTATGTTAGATAGAGCTGCATATAGATATTACTTCAGGAACTAATAAAGAAGGACATAGATTACTAAATCACAATTTGAAAATATTTTGGGAACTGTATTTTTAGTATAATGGGCATATTTTAGGCATTTAAAACCGTTATTTGAAGTATGAGTCCATAGGCCTCACTGGATTGCTAAGGAGGCCAAAGGCACAAAATAGTGCCTGGTCTGGGGCGCCTGGGTGGCTCCGTCAGTTAAGCATCTGCCTTCGGCTCAGGTCATGATCTCAGGGTCCTAGGATCGAGCCCCACATCGGGCTCCCTGCTCAGCAGGGCGTCTGCTTCTCCCTCTCCCTTTGCCCCTCCCCCTGCTCAGGCTCTCTCTCAAATAAATAAAAATATTTTTTTGAAAATTATTGAAAAAACAATTCCTGGTCTGGACACTACTTCTTACTCCTCTCGATAATGGGAATAAAAAGTGACTGTGAAGGCTTCCCGACAATGTGACCTTTAAGCTGCATAAGACAGCCATGGGAGAATCTAGGAGAAGAACATTCCCGAGTGGAATAACAAAGGTAATGGTCCAGAGGCAGAAGCGAGCTTGAGGAGATCTGCAGTAGGAAGAAGGCAAGGGAGCCGGGAGCTAGTGCAGGAAGGGAGAATTATTCACAATTGCCAAAAGGTGAAAACAACCCAATGGCCATCAACTGATGACTGGCTAAACAAAATGTGGGTGATCCAGACAATGGAATATTACTCAGGCTCTAAAAGGAAGACAATTCTGGTGCATGCTGCCCCGGGGATGAATCTTGAAAACACCGTTTCTTTCACCGTTCAAGTGAAAGAAACCAGGCACAAAGGGATAAATACTGTATGATTCCACTTACAGGAGGTGCCTAGAATAGTCAGAGTCATAGAGAAAGAAAATAGAATAGTGGTTACCGGGTAAAGAGGGGAGAAGGGGGTGGGGAGTTAGTGTTCAGTGTTTCCTTTGGGGGAAATGAGAATGTTTGGAACGAGGCAGAGGTGATGGTTGCACCACATTGTGAATGTATTAAATGCCACTGAATTATTCACTTTAAAATAGTTCATTTTATGTTGTGTGAATTTCACCTTATTAAAAATAAGAACAGGGGCGCCTGGGTGGCTCAGTCGGTTAAGCATCTGACTCTTGATCTCAGCTCAGGTCTTGATCTCAGGGTCGTGAGTTCAAGCCCCACATTGGGCTCCATGCTGGGCGTGGAGTCTACTTAAAAAAGGGGGTGGACCAAGAACAGTAAGAGATGAAGCAAGCGAGGTAGCAGGGTGTCCCTGCTGTGGGGATCACGTCGGGTCTGTGGGCAGGATAGAGTAAGGGGTTTTTACTGTGAATGAGGTCTTCTGTTCCATAACGTTTTCTAGTTAGTTACTGTCGGTTGATAAGAAGTCCATGGTTTTCTTCATGTCTCTTTTGAAACTGGCTACGTAGGGACACCTGGGTGGCTCAGTCGGTTATGCGTCTGCCGTCAGCTCAGGTCATGATCCCAGGGTCCTGGGATGGAGTCCTGCATCGGGCTCCCTGCTTGGCGGGGAGTCTGCTTCTCCCTCTCTCTCTCTCTCTCTGTGCGAGGTCTCTCTCTCTCTCTCAAATAAATAAATAAATCTTAAAAAAAAAAAAAAAGAAACTGGTTACCTAACTGAACTGGTATTCATTAGAAGTGTTTTCCAGATGATTGATTACCTTGGGTTTCTTAAACAGTCATATTACAGAAAACTAATGATTTTACCTCTCAGCGAGCACTTTTCAATTGCCATCTCTCTGGACACTGACGACCAGTCCCTTCTTGAAACACTGCCCTCTGGCTTCACTGCCTTGAGAACTCTTCTTTCTCAATCGCCTTAAATCTTGGCCTGTCTCAAAGGTCCCATCCCGGACCATCTTTTGCCGTCATTCTACTAACGTTGCACACGCATTATCCCTGGGTGGTCTCGCTCATTCCCACGGCTGCAGTGGTCACCACCTCCCAATCACGCTTGCTAGACGCCCGCAGGTCATCCCAGTCTCCTCCCTCTCCCACGTGCTGGCCTCTGTGTAGCCACAGCCTTCAGAGCCCCGCCTCCCCCCCCCCCCCCCCCCCCCGCTGGAAACTCACAAGGCCCGGTCACAGACACTGTGCTTGAGCACAACCATCTCGGCCAGC